GACACATCCTCTGCTTTTACAAAGAAATATAGCATTTTTATACATTTTGTGTTACAGTAATCAAATACAACGTAGTCATCATCCTTCCCCTTAGTTCAAACACCCAATCCTGTGGGACACCTAATCAGCAATGGGCACTTCTATGGACAGCCCCAGGTTCCCATGATCTTATGGTATTAGCTAGACATTGTAATCTCTAGGCCTTGGGATTTTCCTATGCTTCATATTCATTCATATTTGAAACGTTTAATGGCTATACTCCTTCGGTCTTTCTCAGGGTTGTTTATCTGTAAGGACAGCTCAAATTCTATTACCCATTGTGTCTTTTATCACATTCAGTTACTCCTTTTATTTTCCCACTGTCCCAATTATATAACGTAAAAATAAAAAGAGAGTTCGTTTTAACTAATTGCTATAAGGTTAACTTCTGTTATGAAGTTAATTATAAGTGTAACGTTATCCAACTACTTTTAGTGTCAGCATTTTGTAACTTATGGGTTGTGATCAATCTATCTTGTTCAGGGTGTAAGAGGAAGTGTCTTCTAAGTCTGGGTAATCTTTACATCTAAGCTTAAATTTCTTTTAAGGCTTGTATTATATCCTGGTTATGATTGAAACCAACTTCTTTGATTAAAGCATTTTTAGCTAGAAACTATTTAATATTGCTGGTGCTTCAAAGAGGCAACTATTTACGACAAAATAACTTTAGCTGTTATCCTTGCAGCTGCTAGAAGACCTAGTCTAACACCGGATGTTATTCATTTACTGGGACAATCACCCTTTCATTAATAGAGCTGGAATTGGTTATTTATCTGCCCTAAGGCATCCTTTTATCAGAACTGTCTCAGATGGGAACATACAGCGTTCCTTTACTGACCTTCTAGCAGTTCTGTTCAAAGGTACCATTGTATTTCACTGTGTTAGCAGGTTACTTAGTTTTGCTTAGCTTCTGTCTGCCATCTTGTAAGCAGGCATGGGCTGCTTAGTGTGTTCAGGTACAAGCCACCTTACATGGCCAGGTACAGGTCACCCCTACTCCTTGTATGCTGTAGGTATCAAGTGTTCATCAAGGTGTTGCATTTTGGTGAAACAAATAAGAGCAGGACTTATACAATTAAAAGTAGGGCCTTGGGTATTGTTTAGAGAACAGAGAAACCTAGGGGTTTGGGTACATAATTCTTTGAAATTTGTGTCACATGTACAGAGGGTGGTTAAGAAGACGTTTAGCAAGTTTGCCTTCATTGCTCAGATCTTTAATTATTGGAGTTGGGACATTATGTTGACGTTAAACAGGACATTGGTGAGGCCGCTTCTGAAGTACTGTGTCAAGCACTGGTCATCCAGTTTAGAACGAATATTATCAAGCTGAAGAGGGCTCAGAAAATATTTGCCAGGATGTTGGCAGGAGTGGAGAGTTTGAATTGTAGGGAGGAGCTGGATAGGCTGGCACCTTCTTCACTGGAGTAAGGGGGTTGAGGGTGATCTGACAGAAGTTTATAAAATCATGAGGGACACAGATAAGGTGAATGGCAGGTGTCTTTTCACTAGGGTGGGGGAATTTAAGACTGGGGGCATATTTTTAAAGTGAGAGGAGAAAGATTTTAAAAAAAGGACATGAGGGCCAACGTTTTACACAGAGTGTGGATTGTGTGTGGAATGAACTTCCAAAGGAAGTGGTGGATGTGGGTACAGTTACAATGTTTAAAAGACATTTAGAAAAGTACATGAATAAGAAATGTTTGGAGGGACGTGGGCCAAGCACAGGCTGGTGGGAATAGTTTAGTTTGGAATTATGGTCAGCATGAACCAGTTGGACCAAAGGATCTGTTTCTATGCTGTATGGCTGTATGACTCTAAAACACAAAACAAAAAAAGTAGACTTGCAGCATTGTCTTGTTTATCATGTCTTTTTATGATGGTACAGTTCAATTACTGTGTTATGTAAGTTAATTATTACTTATGTGTTTCAGAACCAGCTTCCCAGCCTTTGTCAGTTACAACACTTAAGAAACCTTTGGATAAGTTTTTTTTTAAACATTCACAGGATGAGGGTGTCGCTGGCTAGGTGGCATTTATTACCCATCCCTAATTGCCCAGAGAGCAGTTAAGAGTCAACCACATTGCTGTAGGACTGGAGTCATATGTAGGCCAGCCCAGGTAAGGATGACAGTTTCCTTCCCTAAAGGACATTAGTGAGCCAGATGGGTTTTTCTGACAATCGGCAATAGATTCACAGTCATCATTAGATTCTTAATTCCAGATATTTATTGAATTCAAATTCCACCATTTGCCATGGCGGGATTTGAACCCAGGTCCCAGAACATTATTTGGGACTCTGGATGAACAGTCCAGTGATAATACCACTAGGCTACCACCTCCCAGTATATGGGAAGAAAGGTTTGGAAGGATATGAGCCAAGCGCAGACAAGTGGCACTGGTTTAGGTTGGAATTATGGGCGGCATGGAATGGTTGGACCGAATGGTCTGTTTCTATGCTGTATGACTGTAGATAGTTCTTAAATGTCTTGAAGGTTCCCAACTCTACCACCTTTTCAGGCAGTGAGTTCCAGATATCCAGCATCGTCTATCTGAAAAAGCTACTCTAATCCCCACTCATCCTCCTGCTCCTTCTGTTAAACAGTGTCCCCAGTTATTGACCTCTCTACTAAGGGGAACAGTTTCACTCTATCTATGCACCTCAGTACTTTGTATACCTCAATCAGATCCCCTTCAACCTCCTCTGCACTGAGGAACACAACCCCAACCTAATTAGCCTCTCTTTGAAATTAAATCACTCTAGCCTATGTAACATTCTGGTAAATCTCCACTGCACCTTCTGTTGTACAATTACATCCTTCCTGTAGTGTGGCAATGCACAAAGCATTCAGTACAGCCAGCTGTTGTCTACCTATCATGCTATACAGCTCCACCATAACATGCCAGCTCTTATGTTCACTGCCTTGACTAAAAAGGCAAGTATCCAGGTCCTTCTGAACTACCTGTTCTGCTGCGTTCATGATCTATAAACAAGATCCCTCTGATTCCAGGGTTACTGCATTCATTATGTACTCTTCTGCCTTGCTAGTCCTCTTAAAATGCATCTTTTCAAGATTAAATTCCAATTGCCACTGTTCAGCCCATCTATATTGACCTATAGTCTAGGGATTTCCTCCTCACTATTTACCATGCCACTAATTTTTGTGTCATCTGAAACTCATTGATCATACCACCCACAATGCCGTGGCAATTTTTAATGGCAGTGCCCGATAGTACCTCCAGTTCTGAAGAAACGTTTTATTGGATTTGAAATATTAATTCTTTTTCTCTTTCCACACATGCTATCAGACCTGCTGAGTTTCTCCAGCAAATTGTTTTTATTTCTGATTTTTAACTGATCGTGAACAGGAATAAAATCTAGAGACGGCGTGATGATGCAGCAGAGGGCAGGGCTGTTATTGCTGGATCTCGTGTATCGGCCACTATCAAAGTAAAAGTTGACAAATTGCTCAATTGTTGTCCCCTCATTTGAAATAATACGTATCTGTCCTGATCCACATTGCCAGTAAATCCCTGCGAAATATTAATATCAACGAAGAGCTTTAACAATGTTTTTCCTTTCTCATCATCATCCCCCATACTCCAACATCCTCCTGCTTCTCTCTCTCTCTGTTCTATTGACTATGCTGTTGAAGTTCAGTCGAAATTTTTTTCTAAAATCCTGCCCTTCCAATAGGTGTTCTGTGACAGCTCCTTTGTGCTAAATCTGAGTGTGAATGGTAATTCCTGAGCAGTGTCTCAGTGACAGTCAGTTTGAATTCACTCCCATTCATCAATATCAGTTCAAATCCCACCCCCAGCTGTGAGCAGGAGGTGATCCCAATGCCCATATACTCACCTACTTTTCCATTTTGATCCAAACGAACTTAAAACTTTTCAAACGTCAGCTCTTTCATTTCAACTTCAAACCAGTTGAAAAAGAAAACACTCACAATATTTGAAATTCAAATCTGAAAACAAGTTATGGGTGATATGTTTGATTTCTGGGTTCACTATCTGATTTGGCACTCATTCTAGATCAGGAATTATCAAACTTTTTTGGTGTGAAAGGCCACATTTCATTGTTTCTGATTGTGAAACAATAATGGAGCTGGTGAGCAAATTTCAGAAAAGGTTTGAGATTACGGAAAAGGGAAGTTTGAGAATCCATTAACAATTCCAAATCAATAAATTGACCATTTAAATGAGTAACTCATACAAATTGCCATTTAAAAGTGCCAAGTAGTAGAGTTAACTAAGAGATAACACAGTGGAGCTGGAGGAACACAGCAGGCCAGGCAGCATCAGAGGAGTAGGAAAGTTAGCATTTCAGGTCGGGACCCTTCTTCGGAGTTAACTAATTGTTTTGCCTTTTCTCTGAAGAAGCAGTTCTACAGAGACAAAGATGAAGCACACAGTCCTGGTCATCAGGGAAAGAGAGGAACCCAGGGTTGAACTAAGGCGCGTGGGCGGGGAAGGTGTATTTAATGCTCAGTCACAAGATTCACTCACAAATGGCCATTTGTATTAAATACACATTTAAGTAGTCAATGTGTTGATTGGATTTGTTTATGCATTCTCAAAATCTCCTTTTCTTAAACCTTATTGAAATTTGCCCACTAGTTCCATGAGCAAGAGAAAAATTGAAACATAATTAGGAATTCAATTCCACACATTTTCTCTCATTATACTCTCTTCCCCTCCCTCACATACTCACTTTCTCTTCCTCCTCCTACTACTCTCTTCACCCTTCCCTTGTACTCTTTCTCTTCTTCCTCGCTCACACTCTCCCTCTCTCCTTCTCTCACATTAAGATAGAACAGTTGTACACTATAGTATGAGAGAGTGTTCATGACAAACAAAATTCATAAAATCCAAAACTCCAAGTCATGTTTTCACAAAACTATTAATTTATAAAAATTGTAAAATTACATTACAAAACAATTAAACTTAAAAATCACAGACAGTCAAATAAAGTATTAAAATTTCTATTCCATCTTTGGCTTAAGTAGAATGCAGGTCTCCTTTCTGAACAGTTAGTCATTCCATTATTGCCAGTCTGGTTCTGCACAGCTTTGGTATATAATCAGAGGACATTATAGTCTGATTTAGTCAGTATCCCACCAAGCTATTCAGTAACAGTCACAGGAAACCTACTGTCTTCATTTTGAAAAGTCTTATCAAATGCCCACAAATTATTAAAGAAAACAAACTGACAATCAACCCGTTATTCCTTTGAATACTAAACAAATTCGTGTTGTTAAACTATAGATCGTAAAAAACAAAAATCTCTCATCTGTACAAGTAAAAAAAGGTTGCACTCAATACACATATTTCACAGTGTTCAAACAGTATTCTAGTATTAAAATGGCAGTGGTTTTAAGATGGTCTTGAATCTAGAAATTTGTGTACATTTATTAATCTGCAAAATTACTTATTGACAATAATTAGCATACACGTAAAGGAAAAATTTCAGAAAAAAATGTTTCATTCTAGCAACATATTTTAAAATTGTGCTGAAGATTCATTTTTACAAAATAGAGCCTTCATCCTTACAATGAAAACTCCAGGTGATGTATTCAATGGTAGAAAGTAATGCATACAGTGTTAATCCAGGCCTATTTGATAGTGTTGAACAACAATAAATACAGGTATCCTTCAAGTGATGGGACACACGATCAACCTTTAATTTCCAATTGCTATTTCTTGTTCAAATCTGGGCTTTCTGAAAGATGAAAGTAAAAAAAAAACTCATTTTAATTTAAGGGTTACAATTAAATCAGTGATTCTGGTAGTATAGTTCTTACATAGAGAGACCACATGCTTGCATATATTTACAGGGGTTTAGCAGCTACTTTTTTCAGGCTACAAGCACCGAACAGATTACTCAGAAAGTAATCCTGCAATGAATGTTCACATAAGTTGCACAATTCCGCCAAAAATAAATAGAATTGAATACTTAATCTGACACAAATAACTGTATACAGCGATATTAAGGGTTACAAAGTCTAACCTGCAGTGGATGATATTGACTCTAGATTTATACGTGACGTCTTTAAGTATAAAGAAACCTTTATTGGTACACTTTGTGAACACAGGCATTACTGTTCCCCATTCCCAATGCTCTGAGCACATCAAATCGTAAAGCCAATCAGAACAGAACCCGCGGATTTTGCATTAACTGTACCTAGTCACCATCATTGTCAAATTACTTGCCTTCCCCCATGCTATCCCATTCACCTCCAGACTCCTTCAAATCTCATTAAATTCACAAGGGATTCATTATTTGCTGATCTGGTTCTGAAACTCTCTCTCAAAGACTGCACCAATTCTGGTTGACCACTTTCATGTCTGTGTCTGTGCTCCGCTAGACTCGGAAACTACTTACTTGCAGGCTCCAGCTTTTCACAGACAGTGAGCTTCAAAAAGACATTACTGCTCCTGGATTTATCCTTCCTGAACTTCAATCTTGCTTAATTGCATCAAGCAAATGCTGCTTTTTTATCACCACTGTCAGCGGTGCTCAACTATTAAATGAGCGCTTGCTTCACTGCTGTTTGGACTTTCCCAAGACCCCAAAGAACTGTATCTGACTAACTATGGAATTGTGAAACAAACAAAAACAGAAATTGCTGGAGAAACTCAGCAGGTCTGGCAGCATCTGTAGAGAGAAAAAAAAGTGAGCATTTCTTCAGGTAACCGGACTCAAAACATTAACTTTGTTTTCTCTAATTTCTCACCAGAGATGCTGCCAGATCTGCTGAGTTTCTCCAGCAATTTGTTTTTGTTTGTTTCAGATTTCCAGCAGCTGCAATTCTTTGATTTATTTGTATGAAATTGTTGTTTTGTAATGATAAAAACACTGAAAATTAACTTTTAATTTATATTTAATAGAGAATGAATTCGATGCTTGAACAAATTGCACCCTCTTGTTGCTGATTATCATTCGTTAATTTATGGACAAAAATTAATATTTTACAGCATTATTTGTATTATATAATTGCTACCTTGTCAAGGTATTTATTTCACTGAGATTTCCATGTTAATTTTTCTGGCCTTTATAAATTGAATGAGTTGTTTCCCTTGTTCCTCCGAAGCTGTTTTTTGTCATGTGAAAATTTCCACCTTTCAAATCATTAGACACAGCTAGACTGCTCTATAATTACAGAACACAACTCACTGGAAACAGAGCAGAGTTCTACTTTACTATGTTCATCAAACAGCAAATTGCTGAATTGCTCATAGGGTTGTGGTTCACGTTAAAAAACAATTCGACCAGACTGTTGTTGGAAGTAAACAAAAATGCCGATAAATTAACCTTTGCATATTTTCTTTTAATCAGCCAATGATCACTCCTTTAATTAATAAATATTTTTTAACAATAAATCACATTGTTTTACCAAGAACCATGCTCATAATGAAGTAGAACATTGTTGGATAGCGATTCCACAATTTTCTGCAGCTTATACTAATTTGAACTGAGGTACTTACCTTTTTAATCAGTATATTCCAGAGGCACACACTGGCAGAAACTACAACAATGATCGCCAGAGGGACCAGAACCATCAAATATATTCTTTGATCTAAAATAGACATGCCACAATTTATGAAACTGGAGGAGACCATCTAACTGATCACACTCATCCTAGCTCTCAGACAGAACTACCCACTTATTCCATGCTCTTACCCTTTCTGCAATCACTAATAAATATTTACTTATCCACCTCTCTTTGAAAAGCAAGTTTTGATTCAGCTTCTGCCAGAGTTTCCAATAAGGTTTGCCATATCCAAACAAAACTTCTAACCTCTCCTTTATTCTGTTCATAATTATATTAAACGTTATCTATTCATGGTGTTACATTAAAGATGCACCTCATTTGCAGAGATTGACAAATTTGGCAGCTGTATCAGCCTTGGTGTTAGAGGAATGCATTAACTAGGCCATCATCACTGCACACCCTCAGTTGAATTCCTATGAAGGAAAACTGTAAATAACAGAGGTTCCTGTTACAGTGTAGATTGTTTTCTAATTTTTTGATTCTTTCATAAGAAATGAATATTGCTGGCTAGGGCAGCATTTATTGTCCATCCCTTATCACCTGGAGGGCAGTTAAGAATCAAATACATTGCTGTGGAGTCACTGGTAGACAAGACTGGATAAGGGCAGCAGATTTCCTTCCCTACACAACAGTAAAACTGTTTCAGTTTGATGACAATCAGTTATAGTTACATGATCACCAGCAAGCTAGATTTCATTCCAGTTTTTTTCTAGAGACAGAATTCAAATTCCACCATATGCCATGGTGGGATTCAAAGCCATGTCCCCAGAACATGAGCCTGAAGTTCTCACTTAGCAGTCCTGTAACTTTATCACTACACCACCTCCACTTTTTTACCTTTCGTACTGGTCCTGTAATATGGGCCAATAGTCACTAGGTTGCTGCTTGCGTTACTGACTGGATTTTCTACAAAGCATCTGTATTCATATTGTTCCTCTTCATTTGCACAGTCTATCACAAGCACACTCCCATTATATATCTCACAGAGAACTCCAGAAACAGACACCTTCTCCCAGTAAATCATGATATTTGATTCTTTGGAGACAGAGCAGCCCAAGGTGATATTTGTTGAATTCACACAGTTACCATAAATTGCTGTCACAGGATGGGAAACTGGTTCTGAAAAACACAGATGATATAGTCAATGCATTTCAGAGTAATTCATTTTATATGTTGTTCTGAAAGACATTTCTGATATTCATAACAAACAGAATACAAATGCAAACCTTTCCACTTTTTATGTGGTTTATACAGCTTAGTGTTAAAGCCTGAATTTCAAGTATGATGCAAGTTCCGATACTGATCCATGCATTGATTTCCCAGATGCACTCAATTTAAGGATTATGCAAGAAAACATTGGTACTTTTGGTGGCATGCTCTTAGGACTGTCATATGCGTCTGGCATTTTTCTGTTACTGGAAAAGAAAAATAGCAATCCAAATTGCTTTTCTATTTTCCTTTAATTAGCCATGTTCTGATGGTATATTCTGTATCAGCAATGTTGTACATCAACAAGTAGGCAATGTAGCTTGTATGAAGTTGAAAAATTGAGTTAATGAAGTTTCTGAAGTCCCAAGAAGTTATGTACAAACAGTAACCCAACTTAAGTTTTCCAAAAACAGTGGCAGAAAATGACATGCCTGTTACCTAGCCTACGTTTGATTAGAGGGTGGTTAAAGTGGCTGTGCATTATTTCCTTGCTTTACCTAAACTTAAAGGTCCATAATACTACCCTCAGTGACATTAGTTTTAGTTGCAGCTAACTCATGTGGTTACATGTGTTGTTTATATTGATTACAGGTTTTCACTTAATGATGCCTCATTATGATCACTGGAGCTATTAACTAATTAATAATTTGAGTAAACTGTTAGTTGAAAAATAGTCATTATTTCTACATGTAGCAGACTCTTATTCAGGTTTACTTGGTGGCTGTGTCAATACTTATTTTGCACTAAAATCTGGCATATCTTTTCTCATGGGGAAAGCTAGTTAGATCAATGGATTCAGAAGTACACAAATGATGAAGCTAGTTCTTTTACAAATGTGCAAATGATAAGTTGGCACAAATGCATATTAAATGAAGGTTTGATACAGTTCTTTACTTAACACAGAAGCTATTTAAAAACGATCAAAACAATTTATGAAATGAGTCCTTGCAGGCTTTACTGAAAACAACTGATTTTGTAATGTTACATTGTTGCTACGATCAATAAAGTTAACAGAAGTTCCAGTGTTAAACACTTACCAATTACGTGCAACGTGAACGTACTGTGACCACGGTTTTTCAGTACTATTCCATAATAGTCAACATATATTTCATATACACCTGTGTCAATAACTTGTACATCATTCAGCACCACATAATCTCTCTGCATTCCAACTCTGTGCCGGTACAGCGGGTGCACAATGTGCAGTTTCTCTGGATTACTGGATTTCCATGTTAAGATCTTAAAAGCCCGTGGAAATTTCAATCCAAACGTTACATCGTACGAATCATTGCCTTCGGGATGCATAGGGAACTGAACCTGTTCCCCTTTTCTAGCGTTAGTAATGGTATCAGGTCTGGCCAGGACAGCATCATTACATACCACAAACAAGTGAAATACTGGAAAACATAAACATGGATTGGATACATGAATTTTGACTCATCAGTTGGTGTTATAAGTGAGTTTGGAGGGAAAAGTGGGTAGAAGGGTTTATTTTATAGTTCAGTTTTCTTCAAAATGTGAGGTCAGGATGTTTTAACACTGTCAGACTCAGCAATCTGTCCATTATGTCATGGGTGCTTGGTGAAAGCTGGAAACGTTAATTAGTTACTGAAGGCTGATTTCTTCCTGAGCTGGTACACTATAAGATTTGAGAAGTAGTAGGAACTGCAGATGCTGGAGAATCTGAGATAACAAGGTGTAGAGCTGGATGAACACAGCAGGCCAAGCAGCATCAGAGGAGCAGGAAAGCTGACGTTTCGGGTCTGGACCCTTCTTCAGAAATCGGCGAGGGGAAGGGGTTTCTGAAATAAATAGCGAGAAAGGGGGAGGCAGATAGAAGATGGATAGAGGAGAAGATAGGTGGAGAGGAGACAGACAGATCAAAGAGGCGGGGATGGAGCCAGTAAAGGTGAGTGTAGGTGGGGAGATAGGGAGGAGATAGGTCAGTCCAGGGAGGACGGACAGGTCAAGGGGGCGGGATGAGGTTAGTAGGTAGGAGATGGGGGTGCGGCTTGAGATGGGAGGGGATAGGTGGGAGGAAGGACAGGTTAGGGAGGCGGGGACGAGCTGGGCTGGTTTTGGGATGTGGTAGGGGGAGGGGAGATTTTGACCCCATCCCCGCAATAACAACCAAAAAAGAATCCCCCTCATCCTCACGTACCACTCCACCAACCTCCGGATGCAACGCACCATCCTCAGACACTTCCGCCATCTGCAATCTGACCCCACCACCAAAGACATTTTTCCCTCCCCACCATTATCTGCTTTCCGGAGGGACCACTCTCTCCATGACTCCCTTGTCCGCTCCACACTCCCCTCCAGCCCCACCTCACCCGGCACTTTTCCCTGCAACCGCAGGAAGTGCTACACCTGTCCCCACACCTCCTCCCTCACCCCCATCCCAGGCCCCAAGAAGACTTTCCACATCAAGCAGATGTTCACCTGCACATCTGCTAATGTGGTATACTGCATCCGCTGTACCCGTTGTGGCCTCCTCTACATCGGGGAAACCAAGCGGAGGCTTGGGGACCGATTTGCAGAACACCTACGCTTGGTTCGCAATAAACAACTGCACCTCCCAGTCGCGAACCATTTCAACTCCCCCTCCCATTCCTCAGATGACATGTCCATCCTGGGCCTCCTGCAGTGCCACAACGATGCCACCCGAAGGTTGCAGGAACAGCAACTCATATTCCGCTTGGGAACCCTGCAGCCCAATGGTATCAATGTGGACTTCACAAGCTTCAAAATCTCCCCTCCCCCTACCGCATCCCAAAACCAGCCCAGCTCGTCCCCGCTTCCCTAACCTGTCCTTCCTCCCACCTATCCCCTCCTCCCACCTCAAGCCCCACCCCCATCTCCTACCTACTAACCTCACCCCGCCCCCTTGACCTGTCCGTCCTCCCTGGACTGACCTATCTCCTCCCTACCTCCCCACCTACACTCACCTTTACTGGCTCCATCCCCGCCTCTTTGACCTGTCTGTTTCCTCTCCACCTATCTTCTCCTCTGTCCATCTTCTATCCGCCTCCCCCTCTCTCCCTATTTATTTCAGAACCTCCTTCCCCTCCCCCATTTCTGATGAAGGGTCTAAGCCTGAAACGTCAGCCTTCCTGCTCCTATGATGCTGCTTGGCCTGCTGTGTTCATCCAGCTCTACACCTTGTTATCTCAGATTCTCCAGCATCTGCAGTTCCTACTATCTCTGATACAATTTTAACCCCACTGCGAAGCCTCTTCTAAGGAGGCCTAGCCTGAAGAAGTTACCCTCCTCCCTCCGGACAAACCTCAGGGGATCTCTCTCCCACTGCAATTCTCTCGTAATCTCTTCGGCCCTGAAACTGCTCGACCATGTCCTGAAGCAAACCAGGTCCTACAGCCACATCACCTTTCTTAGTACCTGCCTACGGAACCAGATCATCCCCAATGGACTACAGTCACATTCAGGCCTTCCCAGTTTGGCCCCAACCGTGACAATGTCTACATTCATAGCATTGAGATCCTTCAGAAGCGTTTCTCCCTGCGACTCCTGAAACACACACTCGCAGCAATGCGCCGGCATCTCCTGGCACTACAATCAAGCCTACCCCAGCTCAGAGCCTCCCTCTCCCAGACTTGCAAAGGACCTCTCCTGTTTTTTATTCTTTGTAGGATCCACAACCTGAACTCACAATTCTATTCAGCGTTATTGGACACTAAAAACCGTAAGTACAGTAAACTTACTGGTGCCTGCCACCCAAAACGGGCTTCCTCCACCTCCCAAATCCCCAGCCATACCCAGGACCTTCCCCACAATGTGCCCACCGCCATTGGCCATGAGGCCACTGTCGGAGAACCTACAGATGACGTCACATCCGCCACCGTCGGGTACTCCACTTCCGGGACAGCGAACGCCATCGCTGCTGATGCCACCGCCTCCATTTTCGAGACCAACACCACAGACACTGAAGACGCACTTACCGTCACTGCTGCTGCCGTCGCCTACCCCGCTCCGCCCACCGCCGATGCCGCTCCGCCCATCACCGACGCGGACGCACCTCCGCCCACTGCTGACGCCGATGCAACGCCGCCCACCGCTGACGTTTACTGGCTCCATCCCTGCCTCTTTGACCTGTCTTTTCCTCTCCACCTATCTTCTCCTCTATCCATCTTCTATCCGCCTCCCCCCTCTCCCTATTTATTTCAGAACCACCTTCCCCTCCCCCATTTCTGATGAAGGGTCTCGGCCCGAAAGATTTGAGAAGTTTCAGCTCAAACAGTAATACTGTGGTCACTTACCAAAAACTTGCTTCCTGTAACTACTTCTGTCATGTCTTTTCAACTTTGTTCCACAATCATCAATGTGCATTTCATATTCCCCAGTGTCATTAACCTGTGCATCGTACAAAATGACAGAATTCCTGTCGATTCCAACTCTGTGTCGATACAGTGGGTACACAATGTGAAGCTTCTCTGGATTATTTGACTTCAATTCTAAAATCTCAAAGGTCTGTGGAAATCTTGATTTGAATGTGATGTTGCACTGATCTTCTCTGCCTTGGGACTGAATAGGGAACAGTACCTCCTCTCCTGCTGGGACATTTGTGATGGTATTTGGTCTGGCGAATACTTCTCCTCCACACACTACATCCAGATGGAACACTGGAAAACACAAAGACAGATTGGACACATGAACTTACTTGCTGCTGGTTTAAGAACAATACAATGCATCAATTCATAGTGAACAAAGGAGGAGGTGTCTTTTTTTTAAATAGTTGAATGTTTTTCCAGATAAAATAGTGTGAGATGGGAAATCAAAATGGGGCCTCTCCTTTGAGGCAGACTCTGTAATCTGTCACTATACCAAATGATTCACTTGTCAGTGCAGTGTGAAATTCTCCTTGTGCTCATAAGCATTATGACTGTGAGTTGGGACGATTTCTCATTCCTTGAGGAAATCATACAGGAGTCAGAGTGACATGGGCAATGGTGAGCATTGTGGCAGAGTTGGATGAGAAGTCAGGAGTGGCATCTCCTTCCACATCTTTGCTTTTGACAAGTGGTGTGATGAGTTTCTCTCTTGGTAGTGTTGTGATGCCAATTAATAGGAATCATTGCTTGTTAAAAGCTCAACTAGCCTCATTACTAATCAGCTTCCTATCTTACTCTAGACTCACCAAATAAGCCTGACTTGGAGTGCAGGTTCATAGTTCCTTGAAAGTGGAGTTGCAGGTAGATAGGATAATGAAGAAGGTGTTTGGTATGCTTGCCTCTATTGGTCAGTGCATTGGGTATAGGAGTTGGGAGGTTACATTGCAGCTGTACGGGACATTGGTTAGGCCACTTTTGGAATACTGTGTGCCATTCTGGTCTCCCTGCTATAGGAAGGATGTTGTGAAATTTGAAAGGGTTCAGAAAAGATTTACAAGGATGTTGCCAGGGTTGGAGTGTTTGTGCTATAGGGAGAGGCTGAATAGGCTGGGGCTATTTTCCCTCGAGCATCAGAGGCTGAGGGGTGACCTTATAGATGTTTAAAAAACCATGAAGGGGATGGATAGAGTGAGTAGCCAACGTCTTTTCCCCAGGGTGTAGGAGTCCAAAATTAGAGGGCATAGGTTTGAGGTGAGAGGGGAAAGATTTAAATGGGACCCAAGGGCAAATTTTTCACACAGAGGGTGGTGAGTGTATGGAATGAGCTGCCATAAGAATTGGTGGAGGCTGGTACAATAACAACATTTAAAAGCCATCTGGATGAGTATATAAATAGGAAGAACTCAGAGAGATATGGACCAAATGCTGGCAAGTAGGACTAGATTAATTCAGGATATCTGGTCAGCATGGACACAAGTTAAACTGAAGGGTCTGTTTCCGTGCTGTACAACTCTATGACTCTATGATTTGGAGAAATATTACATGGAAGTAAGAACTGGTACCTGGTGACTTCAGCTCCAAAAGACCTCCATGTTACTTGGGATCAAACAGCATCTCAGCGCATGGTCGACCAATGGTATGCACCTCTCATCCATGGACATCCAACCCCTCATGATCACCATGATACCCGTCCTATACATTGCAGGCCAATTTGGAAGCACAGACTCGCATTACACAGGACACCAGCAATTAGACTGAGAGGTTAAAGCAGGCGCACTTTGCAGGAATGGACAAAGGATCATGGATTGGACCAGGCTGTGTTTCAGGCTACTCACATAGCACCCACCTTCTGGTGTGGGCGTGGCAACCTCCCAGCATGGCACACTGGCCTTCTGCCGTAGGGCCTCCCAGTGTGGCATGGTGACCTTCTGGCCTCCTGGCATGACGTGTCGCCAGCACAGTGTGTAGCCAGGGCCGTCTGCAGACTGGAAGCTAGGTGCCACTGAGGTCTGTTGTACTGAACTTTTATTTCTGTAATGCTGGATATTTTCTTTGTCTATTATCTAAGATATTGTAACTGAAGAAGCTGCACCTAGGTACTTTTGTATATATGTCAGCGCTGTACTTGGTGACATATAAACTTTTCATGAGACTCATTGAGTATATGTGACAATGAAGGCTATTTTATTCTATTCTATTCCATCTATGTACTAATAGCATCCATGCCTTACCTATTGACGCCTGAGGGTGCCAGTTTTTTGGCAGATATCTGCTGAGTGACAAATTGTTCCAGGAATGGGAAGTATTAAATGTAGCAAGAATCAGATGTGAAGAACACTATAGTAGTAGGGCAGGCAGTTAATGAGAAACAGGAGGCTGAAAGAACACAGCAGGCCAGGCAGTATCTGGAGGAAAGAAACACAGTCAACATTTTGGGTATTCTCCTTCTTCAGGGTAATACCCAAAATGTTGACTGGCCCTTTCCTCCAGATGCTGCCTGGCCTGCTGTGTTCTTCCAGCCTCCTGTTTGTCTACCTTGGATTCCAGCATCTGCAGTTTTTTTTGTCTCTAACTAAGTTAATGAGAAACATGTGATTAGATACAGTGAGAAATCTCGATGGGCTTGCAGCAGAAATACCTCCATAAAACATGTCATAATTCACACTTAGCCAAAAATATATAAAGATTCCACACTTTATCTCTCCATTTAGCACATTCAATTTTCAGACTTCAGTAATGTAATGTTCTCCTATGACAGGGAGGTTTACACTCTTTGGAGGTTAAAGTTATATTTGCATGTGAGGAGAAAGGTTCTGTCACATATTTTGTCGGATTGGTTTCCATCATGAATATGAATTACCTGAGGCAAGTTGGAAGACCTGAACAGTTAATAACCCAGAGAATTTCATTGTAGATATTTCACTATGTCCTCTTGTCCTTTTCTTCGTGAAGGCTGTTTGATCCTAAACGAGGAGAGGAAAAAAAGGATCAAAATTGGAGATGTTCGTCAGACTATTGTTAAGCTAAGCACATTGAATGGAAGACCCACATTTTTATATCAGCTTCCATAACTTCCCAATGTACAGTCCCATGTAGTGTTCAAGGGTTGTTAACCACGGCTCTAAGCTCATCTCTTTGTCATATCAGAATGGGGCAAATAGAAAGAATATAGAGAGCTACCTCAGTTGGTGCAGGGACTGAACCCACACTTGGTATCCATTTGAATCATCCTCTAAACGGCTGACCAAACCATTCAATGTGCTTTACATTTAATGAAAACTTCTGAAACTGCTGTTTGCACTTTGACCATCTTTTCAAATACCTGTTTGCTGAGAAACAAAGTCTTATTTTGTCAAAGCTTTTTGCCCTGTACAAATCAGGACAATTCACAAGAAATACCAAGGCAAAGGGAAAACAACAGTTACACTGTGTAAGACGAGAATGCAGATTCAGTTGGAAAATTGACATTATTGCTAGAGTTGCTATCTTGGAGAATGCACCCACAGCTAATGATGACTGACAATCAACTGCCAAGCTTTGTTAAACTCCTGTAGGCTATCCTTCTCTTTAACTACTCCTCATATCTGATCCTGTCCATTTCATCGCTGATGGCTGCTTTGGAACTGGACCCCCAGCAGTGATTGAGGGAGGAACTTGCTAATGCGGATGGTCTACCAGCCAGATTCTTTCTTTCTTTAATCACTGGCATCATGTAAGGAGAAGTCTGTTTGTTTCGTGTCAGTGGAAACATTTGGAGGTCCTCATGAGTTAAGGAAAGGATTTTTGCCCAGTTCCTACAGCTAGTCCTGTTTACATAAACATCAAAGATAAAAAGCTTTCAGTGCCACCCCTGGTCTTTCTGTCACCCCATCCATGCTGACCCACCTTTCTATGGCTGCATGCCAGGACAGGAGACAGGAAATAGGATCAGAAAGGGGTGTAGGATCAGGGGTAAGGGACAGGGTAAGGGATGGACCAGCAGGTCTTTAGCACAAACAAGAGAAGGCTCAACAGTGTTGTATATCTTTCCTACACCAACTGCATGGTGTACCAAAATATGGTCAGTTTAACAATTTCTTCTCTGCCAAATTATTCAACAGTTGACTCAAATTGTCTCCAGTTGCCTGATGGTTTTGACCATTCCTGTATCCAGTTCACTTGTTCAGCAGGTCTGTAGTCTTGCTGATATTATCATTCATCTTCACTGCACTCAACTTAGTGATGAGGTGTTGTCAAATGTGTTAATTTTAGAGTGCAGTTTGTGAAGCCAAACTTGATCAGTATCCAGTAGGTACAGCAATAAATGTCCGGTCTCTAGAACAGTGGTTCTAACATTGCTTCACATTTGTACAATCAACTGAAAAGTAATGTGTAACATTCAAGGAAACAACACTCATGCTGAATATTTTAAAATTAAGTTTGAAACCCCTTTTGTGAGGGATACTTTTGTTCACTAAGGATAACAATAGAATGGGGAAGTTTCATGTACCACACAGTGGTTTGCATTTCTTCTCCATTTAAGTCTTTTCCCTGCCACGTGATGTGGCGCCATCACAATTCTGGTTGTCCATTATTTTCAGATTTGGCAGATGATTTTACACCTGAACACAAACCCTACCATTAACCGTTCCCATTTCTCTAGAGTGTGGTTCATGACCAATACAGTGTGTCTTGGGTGCAGTGGCTAGATTAGTGAGGTTTACATCATACTCTCAACTTTATTAGTTTTATATAGCTCATTTGTAATAAAAATAAACATAATGTTATTCTTTCAAAGTCAGTGAGACTTTTTTTTGTATTACAATTTTGATTACACTTTGAATGGTCAGTAGTATATGTTTATGAAGAATCTATACCATTATTTCTCCATCCTTCCCCCACCCCACTGTGATCCCACTTCGACGCTCGGAAATTGAGAAAGTGGGGTGAGGGCGCTGCGAGAAGACCGATGAGACCTGGGGACAGAAAATCTGAAAGTGATGAAGGAGAAGGTGCATTACAGTCACTGCTGCCCCTAAGGTTGCGACCCCACTCTGGGCTTGATCCCCAAATTTGAACGATTATGGAACGCAAGATTCGCAGAAACATTATTTGAGAGAAGCAGTATATTGACATCGGATTGGAAGCTTGCAATCACCCACTCCCTTACCTGAACAGTGCCGGGAACCTTTGTAATTTAAAGCGGGAATTACAGTTAAAAAATACTTTGACCTTGGCACAGTGACAGTGTTTGCGGTTCCCGGGTCTACAATTCAGTCAATTCATAATTAGATTCAAACTCACTGAGGCCAATTTGTTGAAACATTTCATAATGAATTGTCTTTTTAGATAGTGAAGTTTGAATTCAGATCACACTGAAGCCTCATATCGCTCGCTTGTTTCGCTGAAATATTAATATATTGTTGATATCAATTTAATTAAAATTAAACTTCACATTAAAATATTGTAACATAATCCATTTACGATTTAAAACTGCCAGCACTCTTCAATTTCCTCGTAAATAAGTGGCGAATGTTAAAACGTCCGGTTTGTTCGTTCACTTATGCCCACTGATAGACACGGTACTTCTTGATTTCCGTGCTTCATTCACTCATTCAATCCTTTCTTCATTCATTCATTCATTCATTCAGTCAGTCAATGTGTGGCTCCTGAGCCCAGTACAATAAAACAGCGGAACTCAGACAATCGGCAGGAGATAGAGAGACTGACACACACAGAGAAACAGACCCATTATATACAGCGATACGTGGACAGACACGGAGAGAGACGCATGGATATAGACGTACGCGTCCACACAGACTGAGTGAGAACGACAGAATGAAAGTGATTCATTTTCCCTTTGCATTCTTAGCTAACAAACTCGCATCAACCCGCCTCTTCAACCCCTGCCCGCCTGTGAAAATAAACTAGAATGTGGAAAGTTACCGGAACCCTTTCCTGAAATTCTGTTCTTCTAATAATTGTTCTGATTCAGCTCCTTTGCGGAAAGTTTAAGGAGTTCGCGATACGCTGAATTTCCTCAAAACGCCAGTGTCTGTTCAAATTCATCAACTGCTGTTTCAAGGAATGAGCTCTTCCCCGCCTTGTTCGAGCTGTTCACATGTTCATGCACGCCCCACTTTCAAAACTGTTCCCTTATATACTGCCACTGTTTGAATCCTGGCGGCAAAAACTAAAGGACCAATAATATTTCGAATTTCGATTCTGGCTACCCATACTTCCAAACATCGGTTTCTCACTCCCGGCTGGGAGAAGCTGACAGAATTGACATATTAGTTATGCAGACGAGATGTTGAGCTCGTTACTTGGTGAAATGAAATAGATGATCCTGCTACTGCCAGGACCCTGCAGCTCTCAAGGCTGTAATGGCCACGCTTATGATGGACAAAGTCAGAAATCATACAACACCAGGTTATAGTCCAACAGGTTTATGTGAAAAGACAATAAGTTTTCGGAGCTTCAGTCCTTCAGGTGTTAGAAGGTGAAGAAGGAGTGAAGCTCAGGAAGCTTGTGTTTTGGTGATTGGTAGAAGAGAAATCTGAACAAACTATGGTGGGTGGAACTGGAGGAACACAGCAGGTCAGAGAGCATCAGAGGAGCAGGAAAGCTGACGTTTTGGGTTGAGAAACTTCTTCAGACACGGGGAGGGGGAAAGGGGTTCAGAAATAAATAGAGAGGATTAGTGGGGCTGGGGAAGGTAGGTGGGATGGTGATAGGTGAGTGCAGGTAGGCAGTGGTGGGGATTGGTCAGTGAGAAGGGTGGGGCAGATAGGTGGGAGAGAAGATGGACAGGTTATGTCAGGTCAAGGAGGCGGGGATGAGAGGGAGGGTCGGTCGTGGGATGAGGCCGGGGGTGGGGAATTTTTCAAACGGGTGAAATCCACGTTTAGACCATCAGATTGTAGGCTTATGAGGCAGACGCCGCCCGCAAACTCGAGGAGCAGCACTTCATATTCCGCCTCAGGTGCCTACATGCAGCTACGTAAATAGACAATGAAGCTGAACAGCACATCAACACAAGGGTGATCTGACATTCAGCTCTATGAATATCAAAGAATGTATTTGCACTGTGGTACCAACAGAAACTTTTGTTATGTTATAGATTGTATGGTGCCGCATCATCACCAATACACAAAACTGGCAGTTGGTGCCAATATCTCTCAATCTGATGCTTTAAAAAACATGCACCCACAGAAATGTGAAGCGATAATTTGACCAAGACATACTAAACAGACCTTGTAGAATGTCTCGGAGATTCTATCCCTCAAATTCTAGGATGCTTCAAAGTCATCACAAAACTTCCCATGTTATTATGTTATTATGTCCTTTATAGCGTATGTCATGAACAACACAAGCCTACAGCCCTACTGGCTCGCAAGGACTTGTACTTGATGACTATCCATGGTGTTATCGAGAGGACCAGAGATCACAAAGACCGCCATTCGAGACTCTGTGTTTACAGGTCCCCCATTTAAGTTCCAGAAGAAACTATCACAGTTCCGGTTTAAAGTTGAAGTTTCAAGTAATTAAAACTAGTAGGGTATTGCAGGAATCAGTGCTTGGACCCAGCTATTCATTATATATAATATATGTATATTTATATATGAATGATTTAGATGAGGAAACTATATGTAATATTTCCAAGTTTTCAGACACAAAGTTAGATGGGAGGGTGAAGTGTGAGAAGGATACAAAAATGTTTCAGTGTGATTTGGACAACTTGAGTGAGTGGGCAAATGCATGACTGATGAAGAATAATTGGAAAAAAGATTATAAGGTTACGTACTTTGGTTGCGAAAACGGGAAGGCAGACTGTTATCTGAATAGCTAGAGATTAGGAAAGGAGGAGGTGCAATGAGACCTGGGTGTCATTGTACACTTGTCATTGACAATAATCCTGCAGATGCAGTGGGCACTGAAGAAGGCAAAATGATATGTTAGCTTTCATAGAAAGAGATTTACTAGACTGATCTTTGAGATGGCAGAACTCATGGAATATGAGAGACTGGAGTAGTTAGAACTATATTCATTGGAATTTAGAAGATTAAGGGGGGATCACATAGAAACCAATAAAATTCTAACAGGACTACACATGATAAACACAGGAAGGATAGTCACAACATTTATGGAGTCCAGAGCCAGGGGTCACAATCTTAGGATAGCAGGTAGACCATTCAGGACTGAGCTGATGACAAATTTCTTCATCAGCAGAGTGGTGAGCCTATGGAAGTCTCTGGCAAGAAACTGGTTCACGCCAAAATATTGAATGTTTTCAAGAAGATGATAGATACAGCTCTTAGGGCTAAGGGATCATAGGGCATGGGCAGAAAGTATGAATGTGGTATTGAATTAGATGATCAGACATGATAATATTAAATGATGGAGCAAGTTTGAAGGGTCAAAGGTCTTATTACTGGTCCTATATTCTATGTTTCTATTCTTTGGATCCTGTTTTCATTTTGCATCATCCTTTTTATTGTAATGCTGTTTACTGCAACAAAATCTTCCAAGCTACTTTAGAAAAGTATTAATCATCAAAATTTGGATGGAGAGAGAAGGAAATAACAGGAATAGAGATGAAAGTTTAGTCAAAGATATAGGCACTAATGAATATCATAAAGGAGTAACCAGAGATAATGAGATGAAGAGGTTTAGAGAATTTTAAAGCTTACAGTCTAGGCAAATGAGGGTGCTGCTGATAATGATGGTACTATTAAAATTAGGAATGACCAAATAGCCAGAATTTCAGTGGCATTAGTGTCTCACTGGCTTATATTCTGGAGGTGATTACAGACATAGATAGTGGCAAGGCCATGAAGCAATTTGAAAACAAGAATGAAACCTTAACAATTAGTTTTTCCACTCAGTCACAATACCTTTAGAAAACCTTTTCCAAAGCTCCCAGCTCTGAACCTCTCTGTGAACCATCAGTGTTTTCAAACATCAATAAATGGAACTGTACCAATAGCACTACTGCTTCTCAGTGGGGACTTCACCAAGGGAAGTCTTTTTTTGCTTTGAAGGTCTTCTTCCAAGTTCTCTCCATGGGTGTTGTATAAACAGCAGCAAAATATTATAAATTGGAGTCACCATCACACCTACCATAGTTTGTTCAGATTTCGCTTCTACCAATCACTGGATTGAGAAGATTTCCCTTTACCTTGAAGTGACAATATCAGTATGTATTTTCAAAATGCCTTTATTGAAACTTTTGTATATTCTAAGGCTTGTTGTAATTACTTCTGCATCTGATACAGACTACTCCATCTTTACTCTTAGTCTCTTCAGTGTAATGGCTGATGTCACTGTTACATCATGATGTATGTTATGATATCATTACAATAATCATTAACCCATCAGCGTAATTTATATTTACACCACTGTTTTCCTTGCTGTATGATCAGCAAAGTTAAATGTATTATGTCTCTGTCTCTTCATCAAACTGCTGGAGTATAAGTGTATCCCATTCCATTCCTATAGCACTCTCTTCCCTGAGGGCCAATGTACTTCTACCCACAAGAGTGATGGGTGAATGGGACATTAAGGCATGTTCTTCATTGGCAAGGTATCTTCTTCTTCAGTTGCTTCAGCAGCCAAAGCCCGAAGCTCTGGAAATCCCTCACTAAAAATCTCTAACTTGCTTTTATTTTTAAGGCACTCCTTAAAATATACCCTTTTGTCAAAGACTGCAGCAATATCTTCCTGTGATCAGAACTACACACAGTGCTCAAAGTTTGTCCTAACAAATGATTTATGCCTTTCCAGTATATCCTTCAGATTCTTATAATTCTATACCTTGGCCAACAAGGAAAGAATTCTCCTTAATATGCCTCCATATTCACCTAATCAGTCTATACTGCCACCTTTAGGAGTTTGTGAACATTTACCCCAAGGTCCCTCACTTCCTGCACTCCTGATTTCCTGCTTAATTATGTATTCTTTTGCTTTCTAATGACCTTCCCAGATGCATCACCTCGCACTTCTTTGGGTTGAATTCCATTTGGCACTTGTCTACCCACCTGCCAAGCTAATAAAACATATGGCATCTGTCACATTCAATGTGAAAAGAGTTAAGATTTCACACAATGTCTCATTTTGCATACTATTGCCTTAACTGTGTTTTGATCACTATCAATTGATGCTGTGTCATTAATGGAATTAAGTCCACATAATCAGAAGCCCTTTAAGCTTTATGGATTTTGCTTTGAGTTTTTGGAGTTTGTTAAAATGCATAATCTGTGTAAACATTTCACTAACAATGGCCTTAAAGAGATTGGGTTTTCCACTCAAACAACCTTGAAAACTTGCACTTAAGAATTATTCACTGGAACTGAGTTTATTTTACATAGAGAATGCTCAATGCTTGAAAAATTTAAATGAACTTTTTCATATGATTTTTGCTCATTTATGTATTCCAGTATATCATATTTGCCCCATTATTTAACAAGTGTAAATGAATTGGACATAAATTGGATTAGTAACTTTGTCTTATGCTGACCATCGCTTTGCTGACAAGAGAATTCAATTGTGAGGCATTAATAGACATTCATTTCATGTTGGTTGTGGGCCTTCAACATATGAGTTTTTATGAGTGTTGAGTCAGGACCCGTGATGTCATGAAACTTGGCATCTAGTATGAAATCACTGAATTAAATTTAAAGACAGTGTTAAAAACATTAAAATCACCTGAACATGTAAAAAAATGTAAAAGTGTATTGTTAAACAGAAAAACAAACTTTTTAAAAGTAGATTTTTATTTAATATTTTTAAAAATCGAATTTATATTGTGCATGTATATACATGCTCTGTAAAAAAAGAGATGAGCATGCTCAGTCAGAATTAATTGTACTGTTAGTGTCAAAAACATTTTTGAGAGACAAACAGATTGCGTGGAATTAGAACAGTCTACATTCTGGAAGACTGAATTCCCTGGAAGAAGACTACTAGCTTGTGGTAATGTAGACTGGAAGATTCATTAGAGCATTTGGATATGATAATTTACCTAAAGCAAGTTGAAGACGAGAGCTAGAGATAGTAAGAAGTGCAAATGCTGGAGTCAGAGACAACACAGTGTAAAGCTGGAGGAACACAGCA